TTTTTAGCACGCTATTTACATCCCCTTTATTAGTTCCTGTTTTCCATTTATACACCTCAGTCATATCCCCCCTAATTCTACGCCTTTCTAGAGAGTGCAGATTCAGGGCCCTCAGTCTATCCTAATAGGGAAGATTTCTGATACATGGGATCAACTTTGTCATCCTCCTCTGTACGTTTTCCAGAGCATTTATATCCATTCTGTAATACGGTGACCAAAACTGTGCAGCATAATCTAAATGAGGCCTAACCAAAGATATACAGAGTTCAAGAACAACCCGAGGACTTCTATATTTATACTTCTTGCTATAAAGCCAAGGATTCTGTTAGCTTTATTGCAAACACTAGTGCACTGTTGTCTTGGTTTTAGATTACTACTAACCAGAACTCTTATATCCTCCTCGCAATCCGCAATATTAAGATCTACATTATTTAGTTTATATGTGGCATGGTTATTTTCCTGTCCAACATTTAGAACTTAGCATTTGTCTATATTAAACTGCATCTGCCACTTCTCCGACCATTGCATAAGTCTATTCAAATCATCCTGGAGTGCTCTAGTGTCCTCATTAGAATGAATTGGACGGCCTAGTTTGGTGTCATCAGGAAATTTGCTTATGTCGCTATTGATTCCCTCATGTCGTTTATGTAGATTGTGAACAACAAGGTGCCCAACACTGACCCCTGTGGAACACCGCTTGTGACGTGCCCCCATTCTGATTTCTCCCCATTTATGCAAACTCTCTGCTGCCTATTCGCCAACCAAGCCTCTACCCAGGAAAAAAATTCTCCTCCTATTCCGTGTGCATTAAGTTTCCTCAATAGCCTCTGATGTGGAACTCTATCGAAAGCCTTACTGAAGTCCATATACACAATATCATATTCAATACCATGATCTACCTCCTCACATACCTTGGTGAAGAAAGTTAGTAAATTCGTAAGACATGAAAGCCCCTTTGTAAAACCGCCGATAAGGCCCATAAGGGTGGGACAAAAAACACAGGGGATGTGGGGGGGGGGGGAACTAAAGAACAGAACACACTAGGCAGAAAAAGGAAAAAAAATGAAAGGAGAAGAGGTAGGGAAGGAGGTATGGAAAGAATCAGGTCAAGTCACGAGTGTTCTGATGTTTGAAACATTTGACAATGTAATGAAAAAGGAAGGCCTCTACAGAGACAAATGCTTCTACAAAACGGCATCTGTGAAGGCTAGAAAAAGGGCAGACAGTTAAAGCAGAGGCCTAGTCAATAAGACAACTGTGGTCTCTATCATGGCAGAAAAGAGCATTATTGGTGTTGGCAAGCCTAACACTTTTTTTGTATTCTTTGAGTCAGAAAGAGAGAGGTCAGCCTCTCCGTCCCTTATACACCACTTTTACTTGTATGAATCTTAGTCGTGGCTTTGTCTCTGTAGATGCCTACCTTTCTCATTACATTGTCAAATGCTCCAGACTTCAGAACACTCGTGACTTAACCTGATCCTTTCTTCTCCTTTCCCTACCTCTTCTCCTTCCATTTTTTCCTTGTTTTCTTTTCTTCTGCCTAGTGTGTTCTGTCCTTCAGTCCCCCCCCCATCCCTGTGTTTCTGGTCCTAACCCTTGTGGGCCCTTAGTTCTCCTGCAGTATTCCTTTTTCTTTGACCCAACTTCTACTATTACTACGTCTACCACTCCATTTCTACTTTTGCTACTACCATTACTATTGCCTCCACTCTTCACTCCCCTTTCTCTCTTGTGCCACTAAACTACTTTCTATTATCACTATTACTTCTACTATTTCCACTTCCAGCCTTACCACTACCAGTACTTCTTTTTCTTCCTCTCTTGGTCCCTTCCTTGTTCCCCTCGGCTATATACTGGCCTATATACACAAAACTCGCACGTTTACCTGGAGTTTACCTGGAGAGGGTTTTGGGGGTCAACGCCCCCGCGGCTCGGTCTGAGACCAGGCCTCATGGTGGATCAGTCTGATCAACCAGGCTGTTACTACTGGCCGCACGCAGGCTGACGTACGACCCACAGCCCGGTTGGTCAGGTACTGACTTTAGGTGCCTGTCCAGTGCCTTCTTAAAGACAGCCAGGGGTCTATTGGTAATCCCCCTTGTGTAGGCTGGGAGACATTTGAACAGTCTTGGACCCCGGACACTTATTGTGTTGTCTCTCAATGTACTCGTTGCGCCCCTGCTTTTCATTGGGGGAATGTTGCATCTCCTGCCGAGTCTTTTGCTTTCATAGTGATTTTCGTGTGCAGGTTTAATACCAATCCCTCCAGGACCTTCCAAGCGTATATTATCATGTATCTCTCTCGCCTGTATTCCAGGGAATGCAGACCAAGGACCTTCAACCGTTCCCAGTAATTTAGGTGCCTTATAGTGCTTATATGTGCCCTGAAAGTTCTTTGTACACTCTCGAGGTCTGAAATGTTGCCAGCCTTAAAGGGGGCCGTTAGTGTACAGCAATATTCCAGCCTAGAGAGCACAAACGATTTGAAGAGAATCATCATGGGCTTGGCGTCCCTAGTTTTGAAGGTTCTCATTATCCATCATACCATTTTCCTAGCAGATGAGGTAGATACATTGTTGTGGTCCTTGAAGGTGAGGTCCTCTGACATTATCACTCCCAGGTCCTTCACATTACTTTTCCACAAGTTATTTGTGTATATGTAAAAATCTATTTTTTGTATGCGTATGTTTATAATTATTTCACTATGAATGCACATTGGAATGAAACCCTCGGGTACAGCAAGACCCAACTTCATATATTTCAGTCACTGTGTGATGCAAGAAAAGGATCCCTGTATTCCGTAACCTCGGTCCCCTGTGGTTCAATGTACGTGACTAGAATAGTGCAGAGTGCGGTATAAGTTGATAATGCAGTTAAATATTAGCACTTAAGATTTAAAGGAACTCAGAAGAGACATTCACAAGTCATCATGTGGATACTAATACCCAAATTTCTTTAATAAAATGGTAAAAAGGACACAGACCAAATATAATTTAAATCTTTCAAAGATATTATCATAAAATACACAAACATATTAAGCTTGAAACTACTGAGAAGTGGCAGTATTATATTATAAGCTCGAAAGGGTTGAAGCAAAATGGATGTGATACTCAGAAATTATTACATCAAAAGCAGTAAGTACAATAAGCTTACAAACCATACCACGGGTGGGGTTAGAACCCGCGATTAGAGAGTCTCAAAACTCCAGACCGGTCTGGAGTTTTGAGACTCTCTGATCGTGGGATCTAACCCCACCCGTGGTATGGTTTGTTTGCAGTCGTTTCATTACGATTTCGTGAATCATGGGTACAATAAGCTTAATGTAAATAATATACAAATTTTTAACCATGGTCTTGAGGGCACATAATGTTGTAAACACACAAATGTAAATTAAGTTGATATAGCCTAGGCCTAGGATAACTCAATATTCTCATTAGGAGAGACATTCTCATTTATTTCTGAGATCAAAATTATTAACTTACATAATGTATCGTCAAAAGATTGTTTCCTGTCTTCACCTATCACATGGAATCAAAACTTAGGAATGATATACGTAGCAACGTGCACAGTGCACTCACACATGCAAATAGTCCCACGAATCTTGTCCAGGAGACATTACACAAGCTTAGAAAAGTTCAAGGAGATCAAATAAGGTGTTCTGGAACATTGAACGAAAATTTGCGAGAAAGCAAATGAAAACGTTGCTGAAAATGCTCCGAAAAATAGGAGTCTTCTTTCGTTAAACTTAAAAACACCTTAAATAGATTTTAAATTTTGTTCTTTTTACTTTTTTTATTTATTCTATTTAAAGTTCTTTATAATCTATTTTATAGAATCAAATTTTGATAAAATCAGCAAAAAAAAAAAAAAAAAGTTGGCAAATTGGCACCCACATAGACCAAAATCAATACAAAAATACTTTCTATTAAGATACACCAGCATCTGAAGCTGATCGAAAGAAACATGGGGAAACAACTTGCTTAATAAAATTGACAAATTGAAATTTATACAACTTAGAGCGAGTGACGAGATGTTTTAATGGTAAAACTTTGAAACCGATCAGAAAGACCATTTCCGGTAATTTATCTCATAACGAATCCACGTTTAACTATCACAGAAATACTTCAAATCTGCACCTATTCGGACAGGTTATCATTCTTTGTGTAGAATGTATTGTCAGAAGCATTCGTTAGCTATTGAAGAACAAATTAATATCACTATTCAATAAAATTGATGAATTGTGACTTGTGCCACAGTGGTCAAAATCTGAAGCTGATCCGATAAATCATTCTCCAAATATGGCAGGGATTCCAATGATTCCAACTTTTTTTTTAATATTTTACTACGACGAATTTGCCAGCACACAAAGGAAAATTAATAGGTACTATCCTGGCCATAAGATGCATCAGTCATTATATATTCAAGTCGTTGAGAAGAGGAAAACCGAAAATTATTTATGGGGAATGAAAATTTCGCATTATTTTACACACATAATGGTCAAATCTGCATCTACACATGAATTTCACTCCCGCCATAGTCGTATTTTTTTGGCACTTTTCTTTTACGAGGATAACTTAAGAGGATTTCGTAAGTTATCCGAACCATTCCAGGAGGACGGGAATAGATCGGCAAGAAGAAACTGTTGACTCAGGCTCTCGGAGCGCGAAGGACACACAAGGTTCCTCAATGAGAGAAATAAAAGCTGAAGGAATTGACTCGCTCGCAGGTGTGAAGGAAAGAAACGAGGGAGGAAATATGATCATAGAACATGTGAACAATTCAACTGTTCCAAGAATTGGGTCTTCGTTACAGAATTCGGTCTGTATATTCGAAGCCGATTAGATGAGGCGTCTCGAGTTATGAGTGAAATAAAATTGAAAAATTGGAGGAACAATTTAAAAAAAAATCAGGCAACCTCCTAAATGTAGCCATCGGAGACACCTAATTAACTTTTAAATTCCAAGCTTCGTGAACTTCAAACAAATGTACTAACCACTTACCCCTTGGTGGTGACGAGGCCAGACACGGGCTCCTCTTGAAGCTGTTTCATTACACGTAGTTTTCTTTTTTCTCTCCCTTCATCGTCTTCAAGTTCTTGGTGTCTTCTTCCAAGCGTTCTCTTCATCTCTTCAGCAGTGTCTTCGTCGTTTCGTCTGCCTGCCGCTTCACCAGACGAAGACCAAGACACTCCGCCACCACCAATACAAGCAGCATTGCCATATGAACCAACACCAGCAGCAGCATCTCCACTGTCTCTTCCTTCAGCACGATGTTGCTTCCCCAGTGGGAGTGGTTGAGGCAAGGTCTTCAGAGTGGCCCTCGATCTCTCGTCCACGCTAAAGAACCGCCCAAATAATGAAGCTATTGATCGCACATGTTGAATAATAAGACAGTAGAATGCATTTACCAGTTTGGGAAAAAAAACTGTACACTTGTGCAATACCAGCAAGACAGGTCTTCCACGTTTCGAACCCCACATGACCGAGCTCTCAGTAGTACCAGTTACCAGTAACCAGTTACCAGTAGATGACTCACTACCAACCGTGTGTGAATCACTGACTGTTATTCACGTTGCTGCTGACCATAGCATGATTTTGAACGCCACTCACCCCCTAGGCACTGGTGGGTTAGTCTGAGATAGAGAGCAGAGAGAGAGGCAGGGCGGCCTGGTGCTCCCATACTTTCCGTTATAATTATACGTACAAACCAGCCTACATAAGTGTTCTTACCCCCATCCACGTTTCGAACCCCACATGACACAGGTGTAAGAATGTTACACTTTGGAAACTCTGGAATGCATATTTTCAATGTGTCTATGTGTAGTTTGTATGTATATATATATATATATATATATATATATATATATATATATATATATATATATATATATATATATATATATATATATATATATATGGCTTACGGAGGAAGAATTCTGTTCCACTTCCCCATGGAAGTAAGAGAAAATAAACAAGAACAAGAACTAGAAAAAAATAGAAGAAAACCCAGAGGGGTGTATATATATGCTTGTATATGTATGTGTAGCGTGATGTAAGTGTAAGTAGAAGTAGCATGACGCACCTGACATCTTGCATGTGTATGAGATAGAATAAAAAGATACCAGCAATCCTACCATAGTGTAAAACAATTGCAGTTGCAGATATATATATATATATATATATATATATATATAATATATATATATATATATATATATATATATATATATATATATATATATATATATATATAAAATTGTGTGTGTGTGTGTGTGTGTGTTACCATTTTGTCCGACGCACATGTCGAGTAGACACTAGGCCTGTTGTATATGCGCGTGCGTATGTGTGTGTGTGTGTGTTCTCACCTAATTGTGGTTGCAGGGGTCGAGACTCAGCTCCTGGCCCCGCCTCTTCGCTGAACGCTACTATATCCTCTCTCTCCCTGCTCTATGAGTTTTATCATACCTCATCTTAAAGCTATGTATGGTTCCTGCCTCCACTACCTCACTTGCTAGACTATTCCGCTTCCTGACTACTCTATGAAAGAAATACTTCCTAACATCCATTTGACTCATCTGAGTCTTCAACTTCCAAGTGTGACCCCTTGTTTCTGTGTCCCCTCTCTGGAACATCCTGTTTCTGTCCACCTTGTTTATTCCAAGCAGTATTTTGTATGTCGTTATCATGATTTCCCTGATCCTCCTGTCTTCCAGTGTCGTCAGGCCGATTCCCTGAACCTTTCTTCATAGGACATTCCTCTTAGCTCTGGAACTAACCTTGTCGCAAACCTTTGCACTTTCTCTAATTTCTTGGCGTGCTTGATCAAGTGTGGGTTCCAAACTGGTGCTGCATACTCCAGTATGGGCCTGACGTACAATTTTTACATTACGTATTAATTTTTACATTACCATAAATGAAAAAAATATATCTTTAAACGTATAAGAGAAAATTTTAGAAAGAACTTAATTTTAAATGAGTTCTTGCTAAATGGCCAGTTTTACCTATTTGGCACGACATTATATATATATATATATATATATATATATATATATATATATATTATATATATATATATATATATATATATATATTATATATATATATATATATATATATATATATATATATATATGTTACATATCACATTTCTCACCCTCATCATCCCTAAAACATCCTTTCATATTCACCCCTATATCACCTAGAGATTGTTTTAAGCCCGACGACCCATCACGACGTAGGAGCCAGAGCAACCATCACCACTCCAACACCACCTACTACACTCTGGCTCCTAGTGTCATGATGGGTCGTGGGGATAAAATATCTCTAGGAGATATGAGGATGAATAAGGAAGGATGTTTCAGGGATGATGTGGATGAGAAATGTGATATGTAACATAGATGAGAAATGATAAATGCGGTATGAATATTCAGTTTGAGAAAAAATGTGTAAAACAATTTTTTGTTTTGACGATTATAACATAAATTTGGTGGGTAAATTGTATTAATATTTTTTGTTGATGAATAGTTAACATGAACTTAGTAAAGTGATTGTGTATTAGTTGGAGGTGTGTGACTTAGTTCTGGTATTGTTTCATGACATGGTAAATTTTTTTGTGCTTATGTCTTATATTTGTTGTCAATATGTCAAGTATAGGTTTTGGTGTATGTCTTAGTTTGATGTGTATGTCTTAGTTGAGGTGAATGTGCTTCTTAGATTTGGTGTGTATGTCTCGTGTCTTAAATTTGTGATGGAAATGTATAAGTTGTGGGTGTCTGTGTATTATTATTTTTTTGGTGATGGTGATATGTTATAGTGCTCATGTTATATTATAGATGTTGGTGGAAGTGTCGTGGTATTTTTGTGTATGTCTTATTTTCGTGCGAATGTTTAAAAAAATAAGTGTTTTCAGTGATCATAGTAGTTTTGAGATGCATGATGGTTATCTTGGTGATGAGTGTTGATAGATGATGGTAAACATGATATAGAATTGGTGATCGTGATTTTTGTGTGAATGTTTATAAAAATGAGTGTTTTCTGTGATCTTAGTGGTGGGGTCATAAAATCTGGTAATCGTCTTGGTTATAGTGTTCTTAGATATTGTGGGTACAACAGGTTGAAACAAGATGTGTTGGGTGTGATGTTACTGATCACCAAGTAAACACAGATGGGAGTGTGACGTCACTGGAGGTGACCTCGTCGGTCCTGTGAGGTGTGACATCGTGTGTTGGTGGTAGTGAGGTGAGTGCACTTAGATATTGTCAAATATGATTTTTTGTGTGAATGTTTATAAAAAATGAGTGTTTTCTGTGATATTAGTGGTTTTTGAGGTAAGTGAATATGGGTGTTTGTTGTTGGTGGTTGTCTTAGATTTATGTGTGTACAAGATATGTTTTCAGTTGATGGTGATCATGTACTAAGTGTTTGTGTATTAGGTTTGTGTTCATATTTTTTGTTTTTGCGCCCATGGGGAGGGAGTTCTTGGTTATAGTGATTTGAGGGGATTTCTATAAAATGAGTGTTAGCTGGTGATGCTAAACTTAGTTTCTGGTGATTTTGACTGTGTTTTGGTAGTATTCAGTGCTAATTTGGTAGTAATCAGTACTTGATCCAAGGAAGTAGAGCAGGAATATTTGGGGTAGAAGTGGATGGTGGGAGGGTGTTGATCCGAGGAGATGGAGCAGGGATTTTGGGATGCAAGTGGGAGGGGTACCCATAGGGGGAAACCCAAAAACTTGATCCGAGGAGATGGAGATCATATGAAATTCAAATAAAATTCGAAAAAAATCGGAAAAAAATTCGGGGAGCGGGGGCGATCCGGACGACGCTGCAGAAGGCGCTGCACAAGGCGCAGGCGAGGGCGCGGGCGGGCGCAGGTTGGCGCGGGCGGGCGCGTGGGCGCGGCGCGGAAGGAGTCCGCTCAGAGGAGACCGCTCAGGAAAAGGAAGCCACTCTAGCATTTTCCCCACTATCTTAAGGAAATCCAGCCTGACGACACTGGAGAACAGGAGGATGGGGGAAGGGACAAGATAACTACTTATAAAATACTGAGAGGAATTGACAAAGTGCACAGGGCCAGAATGTTTGACACGGGACACAGAAACAAGGGGACACAACAGGAAGTTAACAATTCAGATGAGTTATGGGGATGTCTGAAAGTATTTCTTCGGCCTTAAAGTTGTCAGGAAGTGAAACAATCTGGAGAGTGAAGCAGTGGAGGCAGGATTCATGCACAGCTATAATTAACATGAGGTACGATAAGGCTCTTGGAGTAGGGAGAGAGTGGACCTAGTAGCGACTAGCGAAAAGGCGAGGCCAAGAGCTGTGAATCGACCCCTGCAACCACAAATAGGTGAATACAAATAGGTGAGTACACACACACACACACACCCACACATACATATACAAAAGGCCTAGTGTCAAATCGATATGTGCCTAGGACAAAATGGTAACTAACACACAAACACACACACATACACACACACATACACACACACACACACACACACATACACACACACACACACACACACACACACACACACACACACACACACACACACACACACACACGCGCGCGCGCGCGCGAACGATTGAATTATAATTTTTCTCAGCTATCTTGTACCTCGTGGTGTCTCCAGGTGATTTCAATCGTATCACTAGTTTTTTGAGGACTTGAGGTCCCTTTCATCAGATAAGGGAGTAGAATGCAGAGAGAGAGAGAGAAGAGAGAGAGAGAGAGAGAGAGAGAGAGAGAGAGAGAGAGAGAGAGAAAGAATCAGAGGACTTGGTGGAGGCAGGTCTTAGCACAACTCTCAGCGTAGTGGTGCAACATAGTCAGATAACCAGAGACTAGACTTGTGGCTAAGTGTTTCTTCATTTCCAGAGTTCATAATACTTCGTGTATCCGTGTTTTCTCGGTCTTCCTTAAGAGAGAGTAAAAATTCTTCTCCTCACAGGTTAATTTGTTTAATATCCAGGACCCAGTGTTAAGGCTATACGATTTATGATGCTGATGTTAATAAAGTATCTTGTACTCTCTTTTATTGTGGTTTGAAATTATTAAGAAATGATTATATCACATGGGCAGTAAGCTATAAATAATGTTAACTGATCGCAATTGGCTATAAAGTGATAAGGTTTCTTCACACACCTTTTTAACTTAAGTGGGTTTCAAAGTGTCATTCTTCAAATGGCCACTTAAGTGATATTTGCTAAGTGGAGTAACTAATGAAATATGATAATTCACGTTCCAAGGGAAAAATGGGGCATCCTTTTACATTCGGCATGATACCCTCAATCCCACCCGGGGTGGTTATCCTCATTTCCCATTACCTGCCTTAAACCATTTCCCCTTTTACTGGTCAGTTTGAGTCAATTTTTGTTTTTCTTTTTTTTTTTTACCTCGGCACGTTAAAACCCCCGGGAGCACACTGTGATGTGGGTTTATAAAAATTTCGTCTTTACCCAGGTATGTCCATCA